GCGCGGCGGTTGGGCGGTTGGGCGGTTGGGCGATTCTCCGATCGATGACTATTTTTGCTTTTCTCCCAACCGCCGTTTCGTCAGGGCCTGGAGACTGTGAACAATGCCTAACGTCGCCAACTACAGTCGATTTACGCTCTCTCTATTACCATTTTTTTATTTGGCGGGGGAAGGGGTTTGAAAGCACGCCTCGCGTTGAGAAATGGTGAGTCGTGCGACTCAAGTACTGATGACAGGATGGTAAACAACCCAGAAGTGAAGTGCAAAGAAGATGAAACAGGCCCGAAATATCCCATATAGATCTCAATATTGAATCGCGTCTGTGCGAGCACAAGGGAAGAAAGGGCGTGTTCGGACGAGTTCTCGCTTATTGCTACCAGCTCTTTCCCCTCATCACCTCACTCTCACCACACGAAACGGAGGAAGCCAGTAGCAGAATTACCGCACCAACACGAAATCCTTAGAATTAAACGGTGGTCCTTGAGCTGCAAAAATAATACATCCTCGCGGGCGCCTGAATACCGAATGAACACGGGGCGTCGCTTTGGTGCCTCGTCAACTCAATTCGTTCGAAGTGCCGATTTACGCGCGTTGCCGCAACCCGGACTTCCTGAACTAGACATTCGCCTAACCCTAGGTAAGTAGGGAGCTCCGAGGTTGAACTAATTTTCTTCGACCAGAGGTTTGCTCTACAATAATCCCAATTCATAACGAGTACTGGAGTAATGCATATGCCCATATCCCGGGCATGTGGACAAGGATGCTGCGCATGCCACTCGAATATTTTGACTGCTGCACCTCTCGCGCAGTATTGCTGTTTCAGGACTTCTTATAGTCGTTTTCACTCCAGACGCTGAGACGCGCCGAGCTTGGTGAGCTTGGTGAGGCGCGGCGCCAGCCTGATTTTCACCAAATGTTGAAGCGGGCAAGCAGCAACAGTTTATGGAAAATTAGCTGAAGCAACGCCGGAGCTATCCCCTGACACGCCCCGGCTCTGCTGCGACAACGGCTTCAATCATACCATGTAAACCTTGTTCTAGCAAAATACAAGATGACAGTCTGCCTCAAACGGAAAGATCCCACAGAAACACATCCGATGGCATGTTCAAATAAAGTGCGCAGCAACGCCCTCCACGAACGGGATATTGGAGAGTAAATGACGAGACAATCGGCATTCGCCGCGCTGGTGGGTGTTGCGCCCACACATGGTGATTTTTTTTCTGGGTCTTAGATGTCAACAGTACTCAGGTATAGATAAAATAACTACAAATCTCTGCGATGTTGTGGTACACACTGAAGCAGCGGCGAGTTACGATTGTTGACCGTCTCCCGATATCGAGTGCATCTAAGCGCGGCACAGAAGGTGGATCCGTTTGGCAATGAAAGAAAAAAAACACTACCGTTCTCGTTTTCTAAAAGACTAGTAATACAATTCTGTTCCCATTGTAGGTCCGTTCGTGCCCCTCGTGAGAGCTTCCAAAGCTCTTCTCCTTCAAAAATGTACACATCCCTTTGATAAGCCACAGTTTATTTTCGTAATAACTTATGGTTAGAAGCAACAACATTACTCTGATAACATTCCACACCCATAGGCAGTATAAATTAAAGATTGCATATCCCGACATTCTAACAAACAACAAATATCACATTGTCAGATATAGTGAACTAGGAAAAAACAGCGTTCCACCAAAAGTCTGACCGGTTCCTTCGCTCATCATTCATCGGTATCTAGACGTAGATACCAACCCACAGAAGGAGGAACAACGAACCGAATCCAAGGAAAAACGCGGCAATAATTGCTATTAGTAGCTCCTTTGCAATATTACGTGTATACTTTGTGGACGTCACCTGAAAAAAGAATTCTGTGAGGTACTACTCTGTTAAAAAAAGTTCTAACCATTGTTCTTCTGAACAGTAAAAGGGATACATTTATACCAGCTCAGTGGGTTTTATGACTCTTAATGCTTCTCTGTATCTTGTCAGGTCCTTGAGATCCTTCCTTATGTAACAATACTTCTATGCCGCAAAGGGCGTAGTTACTCTTGGTGGGGACACCAAATGTTACCACTCCGCTACCTGTTACAAAAGCTTTATAAGGACCTGTGGATACCTCTCAACAAAAGAAAAAGTGCCAAGATCCCCTCCCAAACCGAAGAGCGTGTGTGGGTATTCCTCCATGTCCAGAGAAACAACAGGGCTCATAGGAAGATATATAAATCATCCAATCAAAACATCCATAAATTTCTTACCTCATACACAAGAAACCATGCCATAAAGAAG